TTTAGATGTTTCCCTGATTTGACACACCTGGTTTGAATGAATGAGTGATTAACAATCTTCTGAAGACCTGCTGAACAGCAGGAAACAAATCAAACATGCTGGATAGGGGCTCCTGAGGACCAGGGTTGGGGGCCACTGAATTAAACAACAACAAATTAAATTCAGTTCAATTTAATTAAAATATTGATCCTGCTGGAGTACAATTTTCAAATAGATAGGGGTAGAACCACTATTGCGGAGAAATTAACTAAAAACCGCCCGCCGCCACAAGTCCCGTTTTTCGGGCATCYGGATCAGCAGAGGGCGTAATCCTGGCCGACGCATTTCGAACCGGATGTAACCTGTTCGGATTTTCAAAATAAGAGCGCAATATCTAGTTTATAACTGTTGATTAGCCTTTAGCCTAACCCAACCTGTGCCATCCATGTGGCTAAAACATGCCATATTTCTGAAGAATTGTACTTTTTTTATGTGTCTGCTACGTTTGTTTACACTGTAGAGAATGTTACCACTGCACAAAAAAGGGCTACAAGAAGTTTATTTACCTGGGTGTTTTTTTTATTTATTTATTTATTTGCAGGGAACAAATTCAGCTCTTGGAGACACCTTTTACACCTTTCCATCCATTCTCTTTACCGGCTTTTCCTTCCTGGGTCATGAGGAGCTGGTGCCCATCTCCAGCAGTCTGTCGGGGCGAAGCATACCCTGGACAGGTTGCATGTCCATCACAGACAATCAATCAATCAATAACACAATCACTCACACCTAGAAACAATTCAGAGTTACCAACTAACGTAACRTGGATGGCTTTGGTCTGTGGGAGGAAACCAGAGTGTGTGGAGAAAACACATGAGATGGGGAGAACATGTAAATACACCCATAAAGGTCCGAAACTAGTGGTGATCCTGCAACATTCTCACTAGGGGTGCAACAATACACTGATTTCAATTTTGTGATTAGTGATTTGATTAGATCATGACAGAATGAAGAAATGTCTTGTGTTACCATCCTATACTTGATGTGGAGTGATAAATGCCCATCTAACACAATCATCTAACTGGCATATGATATTTCATACGAATMAAACTTGGATAGAGAAACATTGTCTCGACGTCAACCAAACAAATCGATAGTATTGTGATAAAGCTGCTGATTTACACTCCTACTTCTCACAGTGGGCAGCAAGAAGGACTGATGGTTGCCTCTAGTGCTGGGCAGTATACCGTTTTGTACCGAAAACCAGTTTTTATTTTTATGATATGACTTTTCTGAATACCGATGTAAATAGCCTGAACACGTGTGGAACGTTTCGTCGCTGCCGCCACTSAACTGTTTCCCTGGGGACACGTTTCCTCGTAGCACCGCTAAGCACATYAGCAGGCTAACATTATTGTTGGAACAACTGGCGGCGGGTGGTGTGTTTCAGCCGCTTGTATGGTCTGACGTAAAAAGAAAACATCCCGTTTTCACCATTGCTGAATAGTAAACAACTCTTCAGTGACGTGCACGGTTAGATTAACGTGCTACGTTATAATGGAGACATTGGCTGTGTCCAAAACGGCAGGACGGGTCCTCCGAAGGTCGAATTCGTCGGCTGCATACGTCACAGCGTCGCAACGAAGGCCGTCCAAACC